ACACATCTTTTTTTTGTCTCTCTCACAAAAAATTAAAAATAAATTAATTTTTTTAAAAAAATAATACTAAAAATAAAAAGGTCTTTATTTAATGTTTCCGCTTTAGGCCTTAAATTGGCTTGAGCCGCCCCTGATGTAGATCATCATGAAAACTGCTTAAAGAAATTTAGAACTTTCATGAGAACGAAAAATTAAGTGTTACTAGTGACATACTTAACGAAAAAGGTTTTATCCGGTGCTCAAATTTTGTCTGTAGAAGGGTTTGCGCGAGATAAGTGCTAGACATCCTTACTCCCATTTTAAAGAGATTGATTCTCAAAATTCACACACACGATGTATTGTTTGGACTGATGAACAATTTTCATTTCTTCTTGATGATCCTCCAAAATGGAGGAACTTTTCGTTTTTGATAGTTTGTTTGTGTAAAGTTGGCCGAGATCCCTGTGATTATGTTTGCATTTTGCTTCATCGTACTTCCGGTAATAGTGGCAATTATATAGCATGACAGCATCACAATCATACCATCAGATGTGCCACCAAACGACCATTTCATACTCTTTTTTCCGCTGTGTTCTTTCCTTTGTTACTCTAGGAACAAACTAAGGCATGCTTGATTTTGCAGGCTGAATCTCAAAGCGCAACCAATGAATCAGTTTTAAAGGCTGCATTGGATCTTGGCAAGGCGTCTGGCGTGATAAAGTCACATGATCGTGTAGTTGTTTGCCAGAAAGTTGGTGATGCATCTGTTGTGAAGATCATTGAGCTTGAAGATTAAAAGTGATTTTTTACCCTTGCTTTGACTATGTTTTCACTACTCAGTTGTCAAAACCCTCGTCGTTCTTACAGAATGACACCCAGTTTAGTCATCATCAATGTGGTCTACGTGGGAGGACTGGGAAAAGTTGTGCGGATTGATATATGTCTACTTAGGGTGTGTCTGAATGAAACTATTTGTGATGAATATGGTTACCTGTAGAAATAATGCTACGCTATATATAAATCGTCTTGATGCAATTTTATCATTGTGATAAGGAGTTTATACATGTGTAGTTGCGGTACTAATGAGTCAGGATTATTATTATTATTATTTTCTTTTTGGGGTTAGAGGCAAGTCGGAAAGTGGAACGTAGTAAAATTCGATGGGCAGAATGACAAGATGATTCAAAGTCCAAAAGTGTTGATGTGTTGTAAAGTCTGAGCCAAATATATTTTAAAGCCTATCGATCACTAATTGCAAAGGATAAGCCTAAGAATATGTTTGATTTTTCTGGAATTGGTCATAATCTGCCAAGAGCGCTTAAAGGGTCAGAGATTTTTCAAAGTATTCCCAAATTGTAAGTGTCGATGGTGCCATCTTCTCCACAATGTTATAAATAAGAGTAATGTTATTAAGGTTTAATTTATTGACATTGTTTACTATAGTCAGTGGATTGATCATGGACTCGATCAAATATTAAAATTTGGTGTTGATTTAGTGCGTTTACAATAAAATCACATCATTAGGTTAGCAGATTATTTTATAAATAATTTGATATTTAACTGTGAGACAATGTCATCATTAATACCAATGATAAAGTACTAAACAAAATCAATGAACCTCACTATTCTAGCATGTTAATTATTAAATAGAGTAATTATTAGTAGTTATTAAAATTATCGAACCTACTTAGTCAATATGTTCTTGTTGTATTCTTCTCCGATAGAGAACAAAACAAAAGAAGAAAGAACATAGAATCCACAATGCGGCCATCTCTATTACAAGCCTAGCAACCCATCTTCCCTTCCATTTTTCCCTTCACCAAATCCTTTTCATTTGACACAAAATCCATTTCGAGAAAACCCAGGAGGACGCAGCCCAATCTCTCTCCTCTGTCCGACCCTCGTAGGTTTTTGGCTGAAACCCATACCCCCACAAAAATAGCCACCCAAAGAAAACACCATTTTGTAGTCAACAAGCACGACCCTCCATTAGAGTTTGTCTAATAGCCACTGCCCTCACTGCTGAACACGGGTTTTAACTTCATCATCTCTTTCATTGTAATAGTGATGATGATTAAAAAATAGCAAAGTTACATTCACCAAATTTTTTATGAAATTTTGGATCTCAAATCAATATAAACCATAAGATTAATAGGTCCCACAAACTCTCACCAGTGACACATCATTTGGGATTCAAAAATTTAATAAACGGACCATAATTTCTCCCTTAAAAAAATCATTACATGCACTTATCAGATGGTTTTAGATAAATATAATATGATGCGAAACGAAACATTAAGAGGCGCCCGTGGCCTAATGGATAAGGCGTCTGACTTCTAATCAGGCGATTGTGGGTTCGAGTCCCACCGGGCGTGAAACTGAAGACTAGCTTTTATTTTTTATTTTCCCAAACCCTATGTAACTGCTTTAATCCGAACTGAGGTCAAATTCTATGTCTTCCTCAACGAATTAATAAAATTTTAAAAGTTTATTTTTTTTTAAATATGATTTATATATACTCCTATGACATTATCAAATCAACAAAAAAAAAAATTATTTGTATTGGACCACAACACCGTCTTATCATCCTTATGATGCATCCAATTAATACATGAATGTTATTGGTGGTTCCATTTTTGGGTGGTGCCATTTCTAACTTGTATTAGTGGTTGGTGTTTATAGATTTAGATGAACTAAGAAATATATATATTAGAAATAACCTCGTGTATAAAGACACTATATACAATATCAAAAATTGAACTGATTTTATGATTTTTTGTATTTTAAATAATAATTTAATTTTTTTAATTACGCATCTTAAAATTAAAATGAAGAGAGAAGTAGGTGTAGATTAATGAAATTATTTAACATTAGAGAATATATTGATTGAGTTGTCTGGCATCAAGAGCCGTGTAGAAAAGTTAATATTATAAGCGGGAAAAAAAAATTATAATGAATTTTGTACTATTAGATTAAAATAAATAAAAATTAGATTAATTTCAACCATTATTGTGTTTTATAAATTGAGAACTCAACTTTCTATTTGTAATAGTAAATAGATACACTATTTGATGTATGATATACTATATCATTGAAAGAAAGGAAAATTAGTGAGTGGAATGCATTAATGCACCCCACACCCACACCAAATGAGAATTTCCGTTATGCTTTCCTTATTTCCAACATCCATATGGAGCCAATATTTCCTCAGTCTGTCCAACTCAATTTAATGGATACGTTCTCTGTTATCCATAAGTGTCTTGCTATTTTTTTGGATTCAAATCCTCTACATTACACTTTTACTCAATTTTATTTAATAATAGATCATTTATCATTAATACACATAAGACTCGTCATTTATTAGTGAATCCCTCATCCATATATGATGAATAACCTACTATTAAAAGTAATATTGAGGAAAAATTTAACAGAAAGGATTTCAATCCCACCTACATACATCATTCATAAATAGAAAAAATATTACTTAAAACTCCTAACATTTAAAATACTACTACACACAGATCTCCTGAAATTTGTAAGTCATCAATGTCCTTAGTATATTTATTAATAAATTACACCTAAACCCCTAAAATTTATAAGCATTTAATACTTAAACCTCTCAAGTTTAAAATATTATATTTAAACCCCTTGTTAGTTACAGAACTAATAAAATCTATTAAACGACTAAATTATCCTAATTAAAGAAAGAAGATATTTTGTCAATTACAATTTGACCCCTTATTTAATTTTTTAATTTTATTCCAATAGACAATATAATTGCATACAAATAATTATTGAATTAAGTTCTTTAATATATTTATACTGAATACTATTTTTTCCTCAAAAAATTAAAATTTTGTTTGGTTTTTATGAAAATAGACAATACAATGAAACATGCAAATGTGTTAATTAGACTTATTTCATATGTTCATACTTGATGATAAAAAAAATTGACCTAATGTGAAAAGTCAATTCAGTCCAAGATACTCCAAGTAAGTCACTCCTAAATTCTAAATACAATTCATACTACTGGATTACTGGATCACTTACTGACTTAGGCATCAAAAAATTGACCCCTGGAGCTCTCTTCTGGTCTCCAACTTCTTTTCCAAATGATCAAAGTCCAACAAACTGATATAGAAGTCATCCAAACTTTGACATCAACAATACCAATTATGTTTTTTTAAGAAAAAATTAAATTTTGATTTTTGATTTTATTTCAATAAATTATATAATAAAACATGAATTTTAATTACAAAATTTTAAAATATTTGATATTCTATCTTCAATGAAAATATTTAATATTTAAGTGTAATATTTTAAACTTGAGGAGCTAAATATTACACGCTTCAAATTTCCGAGGTCTGAATGTAATTTACTAACAGATATATTAATGTACGTTAACGACAAAGGTATATGTGTTACGCACATACAAACCTTAGGGAATTTGTGTATAATATTCTAAATGTCATGAAGTCTAGATGATTAAGTGACAAACATTAGAAGGCCTGAATGTAATTTTTCCTTCATAAATACATCATGATAATAGATGATCTACCACTAAATGAAACCAGGTGTAATTATAATGAAAGGATCTCCTCCCAGGAAATATGACCAACTTTGGCAAGTCTCTGGTACTCCACTTACCCCAAAAACAACTCAATAAATCACTGGGAACCTGGTGTTCGTTAAGGCACCAAGTACTAAGGTGGTTTTTTTTTTTTCGCAGAAATTGAAACTCGAAACATAAATCACAATTAAGGAATTTCCAACATAGCATCCAAAACCTCCTAAAGAAGTTATGATTTCTGTCCACATCCTAAAATCAATAAGGCTCCCATCTTTTTACAGCACCATCTCACAAGCAGCATGTTTCAACGTGAAAAGCCACTAAACACATTCATGCTATTTACACTCACAAACTAACCGAATACAGGATTTATTGCCACCGGCAGAGCATTAGAAAGTAGATTGAAACTTACCTCCAGCCTGCATCCCACTTGATTTCTATCATAACCAGGTCAAATAGCTTCCGAGAACCGTAAATCCGCAGGGCCAGGACCTAAAATCCCCTTCTGTTCAGTTATCTTGCCCAATCCAAGAGATGGCAGCTCTACCTGCCCATTCTTCTCATCATCTCTCCAGCCAGTTCCTTGCCATTCTTTCTGTAACATCTAGAACCAAAAAAGAACACATCAAAAACCTAAGGAGAGTCAGTCAAGTGAATAAGGTATGCCTATGATAATGTCAATTGTAATTCTAGGATTCTGTCAGGAAAAATTATTGGCCCGAAGCTAAAGAAGTTGATCGATGGATATTTATCCTCCACATACTTCACCATCCTCGTCAAGATGCACCATATGCTAGTTCAAAAACTTTAGAGGAACTATGCAAGGAGATTAATTCAGCTCCCTTTCTTTAACCCTAGCTGTGCATATCTTAAATGGCATTAGTCCTTATGAAATGTATGGACAGCATATGACATCATTGTCTCAAGAATGGTAGAAATTGAATTCTTACATACACATGATTACGCCAATGAGTGGGAACTACCTGGTTGGAGATTTATCCTTGATTGCTACCTATAAATTTTTATTCTAGCTTAAGAAGTAACTTTGAGAATGAAATATAATGCGAATGAGGCTTGGTTCTTGAAGTAGTAGTTAGCTTTTGTGGTGTCTTCACAATACAAGTTTTTGTTGCATTCAACCCCTTGGACCTTTGGTGCTACCAATTCAAAGACAAGTTTCTCTGTTTTTTTTGCTGTACAGTTATCCAGGTGGATTTAGTTATGTTTCAACCAATTTTGTCTTCTAAAATCTAGATTTGAGTCCTTCACCCAATCAAGAAGTTGTTAAAGGTGTACTCAATTTTGTATAAATACAAAAACCTATGAAGGTTACACCCTTGCACGGTGAAGTAAGAGCGGTGAGGTAAGATTAACTTTCGCTCGCATCAATCTAAGTCCTAACCAACTAGTTAAGCAGAGATCATGCCTCTAAGCATGAGGACACACCCTCGTTGTACCCTTCCTAATTTTTTTAACACTTGCCTCGTCATGATTGTGGCTTCCATCCAGTAACAAGGGGGTCATGAGTGGAGGGGCAATATCTGGGTCAGGTTTTTGAAATATAAATGTGGTGTATAGACCTGCAAAAAGGCAATGCCAAAAGAAATGGACCTTGAGAAAAGCCATGACATGGCAAGTGTTGGTGTAATAATATCTAAGATAGAAGAAGACATGAATGCAATACCTAAAACATCATACGATCTTGGAAGAAGCCTTCCCCTGGGATCCACGAGATTATGACCAGCATCTAGTAGCATGCCTGCAAATTGTGCCCTTTGAAAGCCAAGAAACATGGAAGTTTCAGCCATGAGAATCATTACTTTTACAGCATCTTTATCTTTCTAATATTTACTTGGGGGGCCATGTCTTGATCAAAAAGTAAACATAACAGAAGAGAAATAATTGTCAGCAACATAGATATCTGTATATTACATATATGTCGCACATACTTGTTCTTTTTTAAAAGCACTAAAGACTTCTAATGGAATGGCATTAATATTTGGAGATAATGTTTGGCAGGGTGTGAGAAAGCAAGAAATGGTTTTTCTTTACCTTTTTCCTCTAGTCTGTTTGTTGAAATATCTGTGTATATAGAACAGAATTGATGAGAGTTAACAGTTGATAACATACCTATGTTTGGTTTGAATCAGATTCTAAATGTAGAGCTTCAATACTCCTATAATAGATACTCTCCAACTCAGTATGCATTCTCAGGTGGGAAGGCTCAACAAAATCTGGCTTCTAGCTTCATGCACTTAGGGCATTGAAGGTAATGATTAGTTTCCGAAAAACCAAACCTTTTAAAGGAACTCAATGGATTCCACACCAATGAATTTTTAATGTGAAAACCACAGCTTAATGTACTTTAATGTTTTTGTTTTCCTTTTTCACAATAAAATGCCAGACTAACATGTATATACCAGCATAGCAGAAAGTATCATTACTTCCAAAATTACTTGACTAATAAGCCAGGTTACCCACTAATTAATCTGCCCCACCACCCCGTCCCCCAACCCAAAAGCAAAAAAGTTTTTGACTAAGCAAGGTTTCACAGATGGTAGGTGTGTACTTAGGGTCCAACGAAATTTGAAGCCTTGTAGCTACGCTTTCAACAAGACATTCAATATGCTTTGTGAAATATTCAGGATGTGATATCAATAAAATGGGATTCCTTTCCACTCAATCTAAAGGCCTGAGACTAGGTCAAGTTTTACAAAATGAAATGTAATCCATGCAATAAACCTTCAACTGATAGAATAAAGCATGATAACTAGAAATTTACAATAGTATGAGGTAAAACAAAAGGGTGAGAGCACAAACTAAGGAAAGCACAGAAGATTTTGAAGTCATTGATTGCAAATCCACTTACCTGTTATCATCATAAAAATCAGTCAAGTTTTGTATCTCCACATATTCAAGCCCAGCCTCTCTGGCCAACCTGGCCAACATGTTCCAGTTACCGTTTGTTACGAATGTTGGAAGCAACGAGGTAAGCTAGTACGGATTCAGAATATAACAATGTTGCAGTTCCACTTCACATTTTAGAGTCCGTGGGATTAGCATCTCCGCCATGTTGAAATTTTGGAAAATACTACTACAGTCCAACCAAAATTAAACCACTGTTCAGGAAACTATGCTAGTACTAAAATGCTTAGGTTATCAAAACATGACGAGTTCCACACGTGGTGCAAGTAGTACCAAAAATTAGGTTTGTATGTCTGCCCCTCACAACACACTCAGCAAACAGGACCAACATAGATAATCATTTCTTTTCCCAGGAAACTACATCTAGTTTTAAGGCCAACTGAATTTTGGAAACTGAAGTAGCAACAGTTATGATACCAACACAAATACGAGACATGGATACGACAAGACACGACACGGACACACAGACAAGCCATTTCTCAAAAAAGTAGGACACGGATACGTTGGCAACACACTACAAATGATTGTGTTTTATATTTACATTTATTACAATATAGTGATAATGATACATTATTCATAAAAAATTTAGTATTTTATGATAAGTAGATGTTATGTTTAGCCATCTAGTGTAAATTTTCAGACTAACATTATAATAATCAATAATTATCAATTTTTTTGTAGACGTGTACTAAATATATATATTTAAATGATTGCTCTCATTTTCTCAATTGTTCTTTTCTAGATCTTTTATGTATCTATTGCTATTTGTTATTATATTTTACGTACAAGTTTAACATTTCTAATGTTGGTAATTACATGTTCTATCATTGTATAAGATATTTAATAGTCAAATTTTTAAGAATTGTTAAACACATGTCAACACATGTTTATTGTTTAGTAGTAAATACGTTCTAAAGAAAGTGTTAGATATGTGTACAAAATTAAAATTTTATCATTTAATTATGGGCACGAATAAAAGAGTATCGAACACGAATAAAAAAATATCGGACACGTGTCCAAAAAGTATCGGTGTCTAACACGCATACATCACCTTCTTGAGAGTGTCTGTACTTCATAGCTAGAGGGTTTGAAGCTTCAGCAATGGGCCAAAACTTGGGCAAAAATTGAAGAAGCTTTTAGTTTAAGAAAGTCTGAAACTATTCCTCCAAAATCACATGCAATTAAACCAGTGAAATCATTTTTGATAAGAAAACCCTAAAACCCCATCAATTACATATAGCTTTCCAATTCTGTTGTTGCATCAAGAAAAGGAATTTAGCGAAACTTATTGGTCACCGCAGCTCACATAAATGCCAAAAACGCATAGAATAATGAGCTTAAAAAATAATACTCAACCTGATCAAGCTTGGAAAATGAACCAAGCAATGGGTTTCAGCAAAGAGATCATTTGCAAATTTCAACTGGTACTTTTTCCCGAAAAAAGGGAACCTGGAAATGAATTGCACATTTAATTAGGACAAAATTTAACATCTTTGACAATTATTCAAGAAAAACAAGCATGATTAACAGCGCAATTGCATATGTACTTCTCTTCCTCAACTTCAAATGTAATCATGTAGCTTTCTGATCTAATGCAATTAGGAACAATGTTGTGCTTCATGCCACTGCCTCTATTGTGGTATGCTTCGACATTCTTTTGGTATTTTGCCCTGCAAAGCCAGAGTATTATATACAACTGCCAGATACTTGTGCTTAGTGACAACAGCATACAAAGGCAACAAATGATTTTAAACATGAAGATTGCTAATGGACCTAAAAGCCATGCACAATCACCCAGCACAAAATAGTTGTTTTTCCTTATGAAAGGAACCATTCGTATTGGGAACAAAAAAAAGTGAGGAAGATGTACCTTTGCACAAAACCACGCAAGATTCATCAAAATAAAAAATGAAGTGAACATCTAGATGCTTTGCCATTTTCCATATACTTCCAAAACCTCAATGATTCATTGTAGGCCCTTTTCCTTGACCGAAATACCAAAAGGATTTGGATATTCTTAAAAACATTTTAAACAGTCCATAAACATCTAACATTCTAAATGTGACCACTGTCTATCTAGAAAAGTTAGTTCTCTCTAAATTCCAAACCACCTATGGCAATGTTACTCTCTTGAAAAGCTTGGTGAAAATTAAAAGGGATATTGAGGCATAGATTTAAAGCACAAGAAGAAACCGAGGGAGGGAAGGAGAGAGTAATAATTGATCTGAAAACGAAAAAGCCTATTCCTTCCTCTACTTCTTTATTGTAGGGTGTAGGGTTGTTATCCAATGTACACGACTAAACCGTCCAAATGCTAAAATTCCCAGTTTCCAAATTGTTTTTCTTCATAGGCAAAGCAAAAGCTGATGAGCCATAGAGCGCCAAGAAAAAGATAAAGGGGACTTACTGACCAAAAAGATGAAAGAGGGGCAAGGCCATATAAATTTCATTTTAGACACAACACTCGGTTCATATAGTTGTGATGGTTTATTTTCAGATATTTATATTCTTGTCACGTAAGCTGCACGTGCTAGACACATGGAAGATTCAATGGCACGACTCCTAAAAGTTAAATGGGATAAGTACACTAAGCAAGAGAGCTTCAATTTCATGTAAATGCTTAGTGTTTGCAAGGTTGGCAGACTTAAAACAACATAAAGCAACCTCTCCCATCTCATTGGTTTCATCCTTTGGTACTACTACTAAATCTTTTTCATTTTCCACCTTCTTTTGCCCTATTTGGTCTCATGCAAATGTTCTCCATAAAATCTTTCCTCCAAAGTTGTGGTTGTTTGACTACAAAACATGTCAGTCAGTTCAAGCTGCTATACAGCAATATGGTGATATTTGTCGATTGAATTGTTTTTCACAGATTTGCCTCCTATATTTCTAATGATTTTCAATTTCTTCTTTTGTATTTGGCCTTTGGTTTCATCATAATGAGTTTTGTTGATTGGTATATGCACTTTATTTATCATGTATTGACATTTACATATACTGAGGTTGGGTTTGAGATTTGATTGATAATGAAATGCCAAGACTATTCCCATACTATACCTCCGCTGAAAATTTTTCTAGCTCTCTAGTAATCACAACCCATTTCCTTCCATATCTGTAGATGTACCCAAAGCCATGATCAAAGCATCTATAATCGGATGGTATGATGGTATTACATTCACATTTGCAGTACAGTTCTACGACACTTTACAAACCTACGAGTTACAACCAAATTTTACACCACAAAATGAAAGTAAATGTGTATCACATAAAGGCATCTGTTCTGGGGGTTTGGCCATGGTTTTAAATAACGGTAACGGTATAACAAAAATATAACAAAAACGGGGTGTAAAGAGTGTTACGTAACAGCAACAGAAACAGGAAGCATGAATTTTTATTTTGCATACACATCTCTCTTAAAAAAAATTTATTTTGCTATTTAGGTCCAAAATTAGATAAGCACGGTTTTTATTATTCAAAACAAACACTAATATATTATGTACATAATTCTTGACATGCTAAATATGTCAATTAGTCCGAAGCAGGTTGTAAAAGAAGGATTATAAATTAAAAAAAAGGTATAAATCTCAATCTCTCCTCCTTGTACACATACTATCCCAGTCTCTCCTCCTTTGCAGGTTTATATTATTCACGCTCCCTCTCATCCCATGTTGATATCCCCTCTACTTCGGGTGATGCAGGTAATATTTCTCAATTAGTTGAACAAGTTATTAGCACTATTGAAACTAAAGGTGTTGAAGTTTTTGAGCTAGTTGATTTATCCGATGAGACTGTCTGTGGAGGATGATGATCCAAGACGTCGTTATTCGCGTCGTGACCGTCGGCTAATTGTTAATTATAGTTAGGCCGCCAGGGCTTTATATCCAATCACTGGNGATGATGATCCAAGACGTCGTTATTCGCGTCGTGACCGTCGGCTAATTGTTAATTATAGTTAGGCCGCCAGGGCTTTATATCCAATCACTGGTGTTATGTTTCTTATGCAGAGCTGTCTCCAATATTTCAGGCTTATAGCATGACATTATCAGATACGCCAGTTCTCGCTCCATTTCAGAGGCTATACTGAAGCCTCAGTAGGTTCTTGCTATGCAAACAGAGATGGACGTTCTTCAACATAACCATACGTGGGATCTTATTTCTTTACTTTCAGAGGTGAAGCATGTTGGCTATCGCTGAATTTACACTTTAAAATTTCTTGCGGATGATACTTTTGATCGCCACAAGACTAGGCTTGTGACGAAGGGTTTTACTTAGATTCCACGTGGCAATTTTGGAGCTACCTTTGCCCCATGGGAAAGTTGACTACGATTCGTTTGATTATCTCTCTAGTTGGCTCGTATTTTTGGCCCTTTCATCAGTTGGATTTGAAGAACGTGTTTCTTCACGGTGACCTGAACAAGACTATTTATATGGATGCACCACCTGGCTTTCGTGGTAAAAAGAGTATGCTAGGAAGGTGTGTCGACTGTGCAAGTCTTTTTATGGACTAAAACAATCACTACGAGTCTGATTCTCTCAGTTTAGTGGTGTAGTTATAAGTTTCAACTTCACCAAATGTTATTCTGATCATACATGCTTCATTCGACGTTATACTACTAGGCAATGTATTATTCTCTTAGTATATATGGATGATATTATAATTACTGGGATGATATTTCTGAGATTGTACAAGTCAAG